TTGGGCTGTCTTCTGCCTTCTTCAGAGTTTTTGTCTTGGGGTCGATGCCGAAAGCGTACGTAGTCCCACATTTCAGGTGACGGGCTGCCATGATCATGCTGGAGTGGGACTTGTATGGGGAAGGAGAAAGGCAAAGAGACGTTGGGGTCGTAAGATGTTGAGGAAGGGTGTGTTGGTTGGCTTTGGTTGTGGCCAAACTGACCGTGACAAGGATTCGGTTGAGATTGGAGGTCTGGCAACGATCAGGGTATTGGGGGTCCGAACACCAGAAGGAAAGAGGCAGGGAGGTCGCATGGTGAACGAGAGGGAAGGCGACCGCGAGGATTGGAAGGCGACAACGGGACATGCACACCGTGGAAAGAGCCCGCGCTTTTGGGCGCCTTCCTGTTGGTCTTTCTCCCATCCGAGAACTTTGATGGCAGGGAAGGTGACCGACCGGTGCCCTCTACCTTCCTGACCCAAGGTACTTACTTCCTTTGAGCAGGTCAATGTAAGGCACGCGCCGACGACTCGGCCAATGATTGCAGACCACTCGATCCCAATGGTGGGGCTTGTGTGAAATTTCCCATGGGAATGCTGCGTCACATTTGGGGAGACGTTCCCCACCTACAATTCCTGCCCCAGAAGACTGAAGTTGGTCATCACCCTCCAGGCACTCGACGTAACTTCTAGATCGTACCTCAGCTTCTTCATGCCTGCCAACGCACCAGCTCCATCCCCTCGTGCCTCACGACCGCCTCTCAAGGTAGTGTCGTCCGTCCCTGAAGATCCGTTAAGGTCGCCTTTTGTTCTCCTCCACGTACTCATGCCTTGCCGCATTACCCTGACGGCTTTTCCCAGCACAGAAAACAACGGACTCGTGGGATTGAGCCAGCAACTAGAGTGGTGCTCTGCTGGAAGGCAGCCACCCCGCGCAGGCAGATCTTCTGCCCAGGTGGGATGTGTAAGGCTCGTACGTGGGTCCCTTTTGGCCTGGTGTTTTCGTGACACAAAGTAAGGCAGCAGCGAGGCAACTTTTGGCATGCGCGACCATTGATGCAGACGCAGGAACCCGGGCCATGTGACGGACGCCTTTGGTAAGGGCTTGCCATGGAGCCAGACCCAATCTTGCTTCTCCTGGCCAATACCTTCGACCGTTCCTGGATGTGCCTGCTTGACGGTGTGTTTCCATAGATCAGTGGCAGGCAGCGACACGGCGAACCTGCCCGTCCGACCTTGATGCCCTGCCATTGCTCCCTTCCACGTCAGCTTCATCCGGGTGCATGTATCCGACCTGGCTTATCTGTCCCCCGACATTCCTTGTCCCCCCGTTCCCAATTCACATCCATGTCGTCGCCATCTTCCAACGTCAATTCTGCACCACAACGCTGCTGACTTCCTTTCCGTGCAAGACTTCAACAACGCCAACCCGAATGGCCCTATCCTTATCACCAAATACAAACTATCCGGTATTTTTAACGGTATCTCCAGATACTATTTCTACCCGGTGTGCGTATGGGTATGTTGCCGAAATTGGGCCTCTCCTATTTCGAACATGTGGACTAACACAACCACAGGCCACACGGCTACCTTGTATCAAGGCGACAAACTGCTTGCCTCTGATGGCGAAGACAAGAACCAAGCCCACCTTTGGGGCCCGATCATGTTCGACTTGAAGACGGCGCGTTGGACACAAACCCGTCTTGCGCGCCTCGTTCCGAAAGGACGAGCATGAGCTGCTGCTGTCCGCTACCACGGATAGTTCCCATCCTTATCATCAACATCCAATATCCATCATCATCTCCCCAGTCTTATCTATCATCACCATGGACCACAGAAATAGCACGATGTGGCTCGTCTTGCCATTGGCAGAGGGAAATCCCCCAGCTCGCCCAGCTCAGCCAGCCCAACCAAGACGGTCATTCCTAGACCCACCGGATTGCGTCGGAAGTGCAGAACGAAGGCTGACTCGGCGAGGCCACTCCCGCCCTCTGCCACACTGGAGCTGGAGTCATCGGGGTCATCAGCGAGGACAAGAACGCAGAGGCTGAGGTCGAGACCATCATCAAGGCTGTCGAGGCAGAGCCCGCGGTCGTACTCGACATGAGAGAGGAGGAGCCCATGGGAAGCGGTGGACAGGAGGTAGACACTGATTGCGACTGCAGGTTCGGTGCATACTTATAGATAGGCCGACCTCATGAAGCAATATATCAAGGCTTCTGACGATCCAGAGCATCTTCGATCTGCTTTCTGTTGTGATTGTCACGGACGTCTCCCTTGTCTGCAACGCTACTGTCACTCGCCGTCGACACTGTCTTTTCTTTAACGTTTTTACTGTACTCCCTATCCTGCCCCGCCGCACAGCCAGCCAGAAATCTTCAAATTTCTGTCATGACCGATGACAATTGTTGACTGGCCGCCGAGGCACTTGAGCAGGGGTACTAACTTTATCAAGGGTGTTCACCATTTTCATCTCTTCCGCCGTCCACCCACCTTGACGGCGGAGAAAAATATGTATGTGTACTTTCTGTGATTCTCGACTGTCTTTTTCAGCGCGCAAGACTTTCAGGGGCAGTCATTCTCGCTCGCGCGGACTTTCACTCTCATTCACGTAAATTTGTCATAATCAGCAAGTGTTACAAGCTTCCTGACAGACTTGTTGAGCCAGAACTCCCTGACAGGGAAATATATGCCGACCCGTATCAAATGAGTAAAACGCCTGCCTCGAGCAATACAGCCTCGAACGCTCATGAGAAACCAGGCCTGTTGTCATCTGTCTGTCCTTTTGCTGGGTGAACGAAAGGCCCCCGCGTAGAGGGCAATACAACAGCAAGAACGCCAGCCAGAGGAGCGAAAGTCATCATGGAGATGCGATTGCCGTGGGTTTCCAGTGAGTCATTGGACTCTACTCGTATACTGATAGTTGACCTGTTCAACCTCAACCTGAAGCGGAGGGGTTTCGAGACAAGGCAATGTCTTGGTGGGTTCATGGCGGCTCATCATCATCATCTCATTCTTGGAGAAATATCTACCGCACCAATTCAATCCATGGAGGCGCAGGGTTTGGCAGGAGGAGTATGCTGTGTTTTCAGCTAAACATGATCATGACCGTTCTGTGGCTTTTGACACGTCAATAGTATGACTTGGCGCCAAACGCAGCATGCTGGCGGCTTTTGATGAGCTACAGAGAATCCAATTCTCTTCAACGTCTTGGTGTGAGCTAGCTGGCTTCATTTAAATGGACTCAGCTCTGGAGATGGGAAATCATGTTGGTGTATTCGACGACTTTCATGACACCGGTCAAAGTGGTTCTGAATGAAGTTCGTAGCAGATCTACCCTCAAAGACAAGGGCTCGTAGAGCGGAGGCCCATGGTTTGAATTCAAAAGTCGTGTCTAGGTTGTGCTGCAAAATAGCAATACTGCCAGTCTCTAATCCCGCCCTGCAAGACGAAAAACAGATGGATCAGGTTTGCTTCCATGTGCACGTGGTAACCTATTTTCCACGTATTACTACGCGTAGCACCGTGAATTTAGGTCACAAATTGTGCTTCCATATCAACTTGTCAAGTATGGCGACTGCTGATGATGTTGATATCTATGCCTCGTGGTCTGCTGTGATAGACTGATAGTTCGCCGTATTCACCTTGGACACAACTTCTAGTCTACATGTCAACCACAACCCAAGATCCAGCTCCAGCAAACCCGCATCACGGTGCGTCATTCCTTTCCAATCCTCCACCGGCAGCCATAAGCACGGGGTGGTCTTATTGCCAAGATATTATGCGCATTTGTTGTAAGTCAACCTTTTGATACCTCGGGAAAACGCCGTAAAAGAGTCATGATAGAAAGCTAAGGGAGGCCTTGAGACTAGTTATACCTGCTTGTATTAGCAGCCAGATCCAGCAGAGCCCAGTGCAGACATCCTTGAGGGGCGTAAATGAGTGGTCGACTGTGAGACCAGCAGCGCCGGACTGTTGTACAAATGAGCTTTGCCGAGTTTGTCTTGGACACAACAGTTTGGAAGCGGCGATGTTTGGTCAGAACATTCGTTGCAGGGGAGACTGGTTGAGTATCACTCATCTCGTAAACAACCTGACTATCATCTGAGGATAGTGTCTTTCACGAAAGGTTTACGCCATACCAGACATGTTTCACAGTCGCTAAGCGTTGGGGAACACCCGACACAAATCAGACACGAGAGAATACTATTCCTATCAACCGAGGTTATTTTCGGACTCGTTTCGGCCAGAATGAGAACGATTTGGGCTCTGGATCAGCGGCTGTTGTTCAACAACTGAATCGTGGTTCGCCTTTGACGCACCGTGTCTAGGGGACCAATGAATCCAGGCATCTCACCCATCAGCACGACTCTGGCAGCCAAACAACACCGTTATCCCCCCAAGCACAAGCACAACGTCTTGCACCATGTTCAAATACCGACCGTAGCAGTTCTCGCAACAGCATTCATTGCCTCCGAACACAATCTGAAGCGATCCTCCACTGACGCAATCTCTCAGAACGTCGGACCTACCAGCCAGCCAAAACAGGGCATTCTTCCCGCCGGCGTGATCAAATAGAATTAGCCCCGTCCGGTGAGGCTAGTTGGCGAGAACACGCGAGGAGGAAGAGTGGGGAAAAGCTTAGTGTGTCGGCGGGATGGCTTGGTTGAGGGATGGTGTGGATCAAGCAGGATTGCCAAATCAAGCACAGTAGGAGTCAGGCAAGACTGCCGCCGAATCAGCTGAGTGAGCCACCGCAGTAGAGATGATGACGCATCGTACTCTCCCGCATATTGCACCCTTCCCCGGTTTGCAGGATCTGGAGACATTCAGCTCGTTCTCCCTGTCTTCCATGCTTGATGTAAAGTGTGCAATGAGGTATACGGTACGTGGTATGAAAGCATCACGAGAGGCGCAAGCTTCAGGTAAGAGCAGACATCAAAACCGAGTCAACTATTTCTCGATGGCGCGTGTTGCATGTTCGACAATGAGACTGGCCTTCAGGGCACCAGACAACGCCATCAACGGCGACTTTGTAAAGCATTAAGCACTATTTGACCCTTTGAGCCTCGATGATTGATCTTCTTCATAGCCATAGAAAGCATAATCTCCCTAAAAATTATCATATGTTCCCTGACCAGCAGACTGAATGGCCCATGAGGCTGGAAGGAGATGAGATGCTTTGCTTCAAGATTCGATGGATTTGACGGCGTTGCAGTGCTGCTGATGTACGATATGTAATGGCCAGTAAAGGTTGCGACCGTGATGTAGAATTCATCCCGGTTCAGCGAAAGCATAAACCGATGATGGGTTTGATCGAGGGCTTCTTGCTCGTCAGAAGGTGGGCTTTTTCGCCGTTAGTGAAAACGCGTACAGCCACCCACAGAAACTATCCCCGGGCACTCACTGCTGGTTGTCCCTTACAAACTCCTCGTAGATGATGGCAGCCATCTCAGCCGTCTCCTCTCGGCATGTGGCGTCAAGCTTTTCATTCCGACAATATGGCTTTAACTCAAAAGGCAGGAAGCCCCTTTTCTTCCGAGAACCGTCCTCGCCGATTTCGTAGAAGGCCCCGTCGGTGCGGGCGATAAAGATGGGTGGAGGAGATGGAGCGGTGCCAGAGGCAACCGGGTGTTTGGCGCCGAAACGATAACTGGCTTCCTCGGTAACGACTTCCAGGTACCGGGTCCACACGAAGGTAAGATAGTGTGGAAAGAAGGCGTAGAAGAAGCTGGAGAAGAAGTTGGACGTTTGTACTTCGTACTTTGTGCGGAGTTTCCGAAAACGACCCCCCACCTGCGCAATGGCCTCGGCCTCACTCTCCCCGCCAGAAGAAAAGGCCGGGGATTCAGGAGGCGAACGGGTCGGGGAGGCGCTCGCACCGTCTGCTTCTGATTCTTCAAGCGGCGTAGCGTAGCTCTTGTTGACGCGGACCTTTGAGGGCGTTTCGATTTGCTGTGACATGAGTAAGCTGGTGATGTCTGCAACGTTCGTATCCAGTTCTCTGGAGAATGAAGGCGGGAGTGGAGGTTTATCATAGTCGAGCGGCAGGGCGCTTGTGTTCTTGATGGCATTAAGAGGCGGCGTGCTTGCCACCACCTGTTCCTGCGCAGCAGGCTTAAGCAGCTTCCACTGACCCAAGGGGACGACAAAGCTACTGAACTTCGGCTCGATGGCAGGGGCATTAACTAGGGATTCATCGGATTGCGGCGCTGGGGTCGTGTTGCCTGAGCCACAGATGTCGTTGAGAAAGTTATGAAACGTGTCCGCTTCACTGAACCCGTGTGTTACAACTGTATTGATCAATTCCTTGAAGTCTCCAATGAGGCCGGTCCTATGGAGGTTCCCAGTCGCTTCCGAGGCGAGCTTGTCGGGCAGCCAAACAGCACGCAGTTGGAGAAACGCGCTGTGGGGTATCTTGGAGCCCGATGTAGACTTAATTTCGCCGAGTGTCTTGTTGCCGACGCCCTGCTGGGTGACCTGGGCTTTCCATGCTATAAAGTCACGAGGAACCGGAGCCATGAAGCGTCATTTGCTTCGGAGAAGTTGAGGACTGAATAGGACTGAATTGATGCACCACCGTTTGAGGGGATCACGATCTCACTTTGGGCTCAATCGGGATAGGCGCACGGGCCACGAACGGCAGAAATCTGGTTACATAAGGCGGTAGCCTCTGATTCAGCTGCTGTGGCTGGAGTGAGCCCACTTTAGATGACTAAGGCAGGGAGGCGCCACTCTTGACCACGTGACATTGGTTACCTGGTGCGCTAGGTCTGTGCTTTTGGTTGCAAGTAAACAAAGCGCGTCTGTGTCACTCTCAAAGCACAGCCTACGAACCACTTACCACCACCACAATCAGTCAGTCACCAAGCATCAATCTTGCGTCCTCCCTTTCACATCCATCTTCCACGACTCCTGCCTGCAGTCAGGCATAGCTGCTCACCATGGGCATTGTTTCCGCCAGCGACAGCGGCAGCAGCAGCACTCCAACTGATGCCTCTGCCAGCAGCCGCTGTGCTAGCAAGGTCTGCGCAGCACTTGTCGCCATCCAACGCTACGACGACTCTGTCTTCACCATCCCCATGCTAGAGAGACTCGGAGTCTACACGACAAAGAACCGGGGTCATCCACGGTGGCTACCAGATGCATCCTCCATTCCATCTCCCCATCTCGACGGCAACACGGCCGACCGCAATCCAGCCCTGCGTCCCCCCAAGAAGCTGCCTTGGGATGCACACCGCACCGCCCTCGAATGGGCCACCCATTTCTCCGAGATGGCAACCCTCCTGGCGCGACCAACTGCTGACACCCTCCCGCCGGCTGCGAAACCTCCCTCAGACTCGTCCGCCCGTCCAAGCCCCCTCAATTGGGATAACCCGATCGAGCGTTTGCTCGCCAAGGGAGAGGCGTATCCAGATCACCAGAATTGGCGTTGGAAGGCGACGACCTTGCTTCGGGCGAAAGGTGAAGGCCCCAACGGCTGCAGATCCGTCGGCTGCATTGCCTTCGACGACTCCTGCGATCCGCTCCCTGCACATCTCCCATACAGACGAAGCGAGCTTCTCTGCCTGGTCACCCTAGTCTGCCACGCAATGAGCGGCAAGCCTCTCAATACACCCATCGCCGTAAGTTCATCTTCGCAGGACTCTCTCTGCCTTCTGTCCTGGTTCTGTCTCCTTCGATTCCTCAGCGTTTCTGTTTAAGCGTGTGCTGACTTGCTCTTGCATGTCGTAGGCCACCCTCCTCATGTTCACAGCCACCTCGCTCCGAGTTCTCCAGATGCGAATTGATCCAAACGATCGCGACGGTCCCGACGGTCCCAATTTGTACATCACGACGAGAGACACTCTGCCTCTGGACAAGATCACATCCGAAGCTGGCTACGGCAATTGGCTGCAGGTGATTTCGTGGCTTCGCTTCCGCTTCGCCTCCCACCAAGCTACGCCTTCGGAGGAGCTTTTCCCCAAGGATGAGGGTTCGGAAACAGCAAGCGATTATGCAGATGACGGTGGGTCTCCGTCTTCTTCGCGGTCTGGGTAGGTCACGAAGAGTTCGTCCTGGTGCCAGGCTGGTTCAGGCCGTCGAGCGTTCCTGACTCTCCGGCTGTGGTTCGGTGTTTCCGTTTGTATTCTGTTTTTGCTTTGGAGCAGCCAAGGTCTTCTGGCAGCAATGTGGCGTTGTTGGTTCATGGACATGTGGATGATACCCCCGTAGGCACTACTTGGCGTCATGGAATTCAAACCTGGTTTGAAACAGACATTGATCTCACTGTGATTCTCCACTCCACATTGCTCTTGCCTCTGTGCGACCGCCCTGCTGAATTGAGCAAAGGATCATCTGTCGGTTAGGAATCGTATTGTCGCACCCGCACCGCAGCTTCAAGCCACGGCCGTCAAGATCGAAGGTGGCTCATCTCATGGCTCAGCAATCCGCTGAGCGAAATATGGCAGCGAGGCAGGCGACGATGTCGCTCTCCCCGAGCCAGAGCTCGTCCGTCAGTCCGATGGACAGCGCGGCCTCTTCCTGGTCCTTGACGTAGATGCTCTTGACTCAACTCTTTCCAGCTGACATAGCCTTGGCTTCGGGCCAATTCTCATGACAAGCGAGTTCTGCATAGACTTCAGACCCGTGGTTTCAGCCCAGCTGTCAGTTTCAGCTGCATTATTATTTTTTGCTCTCAGCGAGTGGCGGAGACGCAAGTCGGGGAGTTGCGGTTGCCTGTCTTCTACATGCAGGACAACGAGGATTTGTTGCTTACTCGTTGGCAATACGGTCTCCGGCCGATCTATGGCCAGCTGACAGCTACACCCGTGAGGAGCTTCACGTTGCCGGTGCTGCTAGACGACGTGCTTCCGACCGTTTTGCTGCAGCAGAAGGAACTTCACATCAACTTGAGGAATATATAAGATGCATTCTATTCGCTTGATTCTTAGCATTCAGTCGCTCTGCGTTGTGCAGTCTCATCCGAGACCTCAAATTCCAAACCTCGTTGATCGAAGCCGGAGATGGATGAGAAGGAATACCCGAGGATGCGGATGAAATGTGGCTAAGTCTGTGTCACTGAAATTATGGTAAGTTGAAAGCGAGATCCGCAGCTAGCGACGACACATCCGCTACTTTGTCAAAAAAGACTTCTTCTCTGGGGTTCACCCCAGTTAACATCTGACCAAACTAGATGGAGAGGGCGAGGTCAATGTTGGCGGAGGATACGTCTCGAACCGCATGCGCAGCCAGATGAACATGTCGCCGCGCTGGAGTTGGTCGACTGCGATGCTGAGGATCTGGACTGCTCAGCCGTCCTGGGTGGCATGCGGCGATTCCTCAACGCTGGTGCCGAAATGCCGCCGTGTTTTGTTCAGGCTGAGCAGCCGGCTTGTCCGCATACTTTGAGCGCATGAACTGCTCAGTTGGTGGCCTCTAAGTCCACGAGGTTTGGGTGTTGCGAATCTGTGGGATGCAGTCAACATGGACATCTGAGTCAGCACATATCCATGAAGGTGTTAGTCGAGCATCACTGAATCCGGTACCGGGCCCGAGGCCCAAATGTCGGCCCGAATGCCTCTTTGCAGCCGACGCGTCCGGCCCTCGCAGCTAAAGGAATCAAGCCACTTCAAGCCACTTCACGCAACTTCAATCCCTCCACCTCCACCTCCAACTGCATCTGCATCTGGATACAGAAAACTGACCAACACATTAAGATCATTTCCACTCACCAGTGATTTCAATCCCCATGAAAAGGTTCATGGAGACTGGGCTGGGCATTGAGATTACTTGAACACGGAGAAGATTCCGCCTCACAACATCGACGCGTTTAGGAGGGGACCGACAACCGTGAAGAAATTCCAACGTTGGCATCGCTCTCCACAAGGCTCGTAGTGCGACCGTCCAGACGGTAAAGGTTCCATACACTGACGAAGCATTTTGACCAGCGGGCTACGCTAACGCGTCGATTCGCTGTCTGGCCAGAAATGGCCAAGAGTCTTCCAGAGAAGATTGAAGAGAGCAATGTGGACGACCAAGGGCTGATGACAAGAGATTTGCTACTCGGGCAGTGTTTGCTACACGTATGTATTCCGTATATCCTACCGAGGCCCCCTTGATTTCCTGTACTAAGACGACTGAATTTCTTATCTGCTTGCTGTCGTCGCCCCTGTCGTTGTCGTCGTCCCTGTCGTCGTTCTCGTCCCTGTCGTCGTGCTCGTCCCTGTCGCTGTCACCAATATCGTTGTCGTCACTATTGTTGTCGTCGTTGTCTATCATCGGACCGAAGTATTGAGGGCGCTACGATTGAAGTCATAGGGGGCACTGCCCGGCGAGCACAAGTCATGATAATACCAAGGACAAATGAAAAGAAGCAGCAATCACAGGGACGAGCACATTTGACAAGTACATGATTGTTCCACGCTACTTATTACTCCGTCTGCTTGGCCAAAAGCATGCGCGAAAACCCGTCATGCGAGCTAGTCTCTACCTCTATTCTCCCCCCTCCCTTGCCTTTTGCTGTAGACTCCGTGCCGGAATGCGCCGGCGTATTGCGCGTGCTTGTTACACGGTGCGTCCAGACGGGTGAACCTGGGGGATACCGAGCGGATTCCCAGAGGTAACCAGGTCACCATCCTTCTTCCCTTCCAACCTTTCCTTCGCAGTTTGCCGCCCGGAGGCGCACCTTTTTGACTGCCGTATGAATCTGACGGGGAGAGGGTCACAGCGTGACTTCTATGGCTAACCCATGGGGCATATGAAGGGGGTTTTCGTATCGGGTTACCACGCAAGGAGACTACCCTACGTTCTCTTCGTCATTTTGGAAAACTTGAACTTCCTAATAGAATCCATGCCGGAATGCGCCGATGTATTGCGCGTGCCTGTTACACGGTGCGTCCAGAATGGTGAGCCTGGGGGATGTTGAGGAAGTTCGGAGCCCACCCAGTAGGGGTTTTCACAGTAAGAGAAGAAGCAGTAAAAGCACCTCGGTCAGTGCCCAGTCCAGTAGTTTCGTAGTATATGGTGGATACCGAGCGGATTCCTAGACGCTGCCATCCATCTGGGCGCTTGCCGACCGGTGCTTAGTCACCGATTACCATATGGTAATCTGGTAATTTCACCCACCCAGCCATGCCCAGTCCACTTGTTCATCCGACTGGCCTTGCCAGCAGGATCTGAGGCATCCGTGAAGACAGGCAATCTAACCTTCTTCTCTACCAGGGCCTGCAATCGGTCGGTGGAGATTGACAGCTTCTGCTGAGCTGGCTGGGCCGACGAGGCAGGACGAGGCAGCTTGGAGACCTTAGGCGCCGCCTCACTCATCACGAGGATGGCCGATTTGCGAATTTGGGTAGTGTTTGCAGTGGGTAGTGTTTGCAGTAGGGCGGATGGGGCCAGCCGGCACACTGCGATCCCGAGGCGATCTGGTCGGCCTGGAAATGACCGTCTTGACTGGGGGTGATGAGACCTCCCACCACGCCGACAATGCGACGCAGGAAGTTCAGGGTCAGCGACCCAAGAGATGGTGTCGAGTGTCGGATACTTCGTGGAGGACGGCGGCATGCCTAGCTCGTCCTTTCGAAACGGGACCCATCACCTGCGGCTGTGTCCAATTTGCCGTCTTCAAGTCGAACATTATCAGGTTTGAAAGATACGTCCGAGCAGTTTGTCGCCTTGGTACAAGGTAGCCGTGTGGCCTGTGTGTGGTTGTTAGATGAAGGAGAGGCAGTGGAATCAACACTGCAACCACGTACCCATTGGGAGCATTTCATGGCATGTGTCGCATGTGAAACTGAAAAATACAGCTGAAAATCGCTGCCGAACAATGGTGGTGTGGGAGAGGGAGCTGCCCCCTGCAAGCGTACTGTCTTCGCTGACGACGAAGTTCGACTTGGGGACCAGGTCAGCGGTTATCAAAGCCTGAGTGCCAAAGTAGGCGTTTAATAATGTGTGAGGCAGACTGGGCTGGACCCTGCGAGGAAAACACGGCGCTCCCTTCAAATACCCCAAAGATTGGCCATAGAGGTTTCTCTGTGAGCCATCCTGGCCCTCTCATGTTTCCCCGTCAGGGTCATGCGGCGGTCAAAAGGGTGTGCCAGTGGGCGGCGACATGGAGTTGGAAGGAAAAGAATTGATGGAAACCAGATCGGATGGTTGGACAAGAATGGATGGAAATCAGGTTGGATGGATGGGATATGGATGGGAGACGGACGGGAGATGGAAAGGCAGACTTGGTTCGCAGCACCGGCCGATACCCAGGTTGAGGGGGCAGGTCCGCCGCGTCGCTGCCTTCCGCTGGCAGATACGAAAATGGCGCCGAGCAGTCACGAACACCATGTTGAGCAGTCACATGCAGAAATCGTGAGCGACATCGGGAAGGAAAGCAGTCGCCTGCGGGAATCACGAGCGACATCGGGCAGGAGAAGCAGGGCGCAGGGCAGGTCCCAATCCGCAGTTAAACTTGGGAAGGCAAGCATCCTGGGGTGCACATGCACCCACCCAACAGCGGCTCACCTTTTCCGGCCTGTGAAGCTTCGAAGAGGCGATCTGAAGTTGACCTTGGGAAGACCACCAAAAGGTGCTGGTGTTCTGGCATTTTTTTCCGCCAGACCACCAGGGTAGGCACTTTCTGCGATACCAGCGGTACCTATCTAAGGCTGGCTAATTACATTACTGGTATCAGTGAACCAGACCACCAAGGTGCCACGAATCCAGTGCACTCATCGCCTGGGAATTCACGCCCCGCTATCGACATCCCACCGGTGCAGAAATTCTGCCTAGGTGGCATGTTCCCCGGAAGTCCACCCTACCAACCCAGGTCGACAAGCCAGCACCTCAGACACCACCCAGCCAAGTGCTAGGTTGGAAACCGATGACACGACTTCCCCTGTGGCAATGGCATTGTGGATGGTTAGATGCGGTGCAAATTTGGTGGTGGCACCAATCCTGTTGGTGTCTGATTCCGAGCCCAGTCCGGACTGACACGAACGCTTGGAAAACCTCATGGTTGGGAGAATACGAGTGGCAATCTTGGAATTCTGCGATTTGAAGAGGGATAATCGAACGACAAACTACACGTCCAAGAGAAAGCAAGCTGTGAGCTCCTAACAAATGATTCGTGCGCCAAGACAAAAAACCTCCAACACCGAGCGTTGCTCGCTTCACTTCATGCTGCGAGCGCGCCTCGAAGCTTTTTGTAGTCTTCATAGTTCCTGAGCGACAACTCGGCGTTGTCAAGTAGCGTCTCCGCGTCGTTAACACCTTGCTCCGCCTTGACGACCACCTGACGCTGCTCAGCAACAGCATCCTCAGCCTCTTGGACCTTTCTATCCGCTGCATCAACCTCCATCTTTGCGCGGCATATGGGATTTTCGACGAAGAGCTGGTGTGCTTATTTGGTCTTTTGGAACGCGTCTCGGCATGAAGTGGTGTCGCCGGGCTCGGCAACTCGCTGGGTCATCTGAGAGGAGGTCTGCAGGACACTTTCCGCCCACTTCGCCATCTGTTCGTAGCTTGACTGAGCCTCCGCCTGCGACGTGCGTTCATTGCTCAGTGCCTTGGTCAGGGTGCCGAGAGCCTCTGCAGCTCCCGCCGACCGTGCCTTCGCTGCTTCCAAGTCAACTCTGAACCTATGGACCTCCTTCTCGCTCTCTTGCTCCGACGGTGAGGGTTCTTCCAAAGCTTCAATCTCTTTCATGAGAGCGTCCAGTTCCGCGCGTCAGTCAAGAGCAGGTGCAGTGCGAACGAACTTGTCCAAGTCGGGCTGATACTCGTTTACTTCGAGTCTGCAGCGTTTCCTGAGGGGAGTGCTTTCCTCGTCTCCGCTGTCGCTGTGCCGGGATTGCCTGCGTCCAAGACTGATCGTCAAGGTTGGTGTCGTCGCTACCCCGGATTCAACATCTAATTCCCGGTCCGAATATCTATTCGGCACCGGTTTCAGGCATTGATTCGGATTTGGAAACGTGTCGGGGCCACGTTGGGGAGGGCGAGGCACTATGGCGGGCGATTGTGTCTGCGGTTGCGGGAAACCGGTGCTGATTTGTACAAGCCAGTGAGGGACTTTGGAGTGGATTGGCGGCTTTTCTATCGAGATCCGCCAGGGTGAGGTTACCCGCAAGTAGGTGTTGCATCCCAAGGAGAGAAAAGGCGCCAGAGCTGGTATCGTCGTCCTGTTGAGGGCATCTCTGTTGCATCGTTAGCTGCTAAAACCGATGACAAACGAAAAGCGCTCACTGGTGTCGGAAAGGAAAAGCCAGGTCCTGGGACGTGTAGCGACAGCCAGGCAACAACCGCCTCTTTGACCTCCGGCGAGGCACCCAACGACGAGATGGAGCCGTATCTGCGGACGTAACGGTCGGCGGAGCAAATGTCGAGGAGAATCCAGTGCTGCAAGAGTCTTTGGTGAACCACAGTCACGATTCGGTCTTTGCTTCTGCTCTGGAGAGTCGATGGTAGGCCTGCGGGAAGTCTACCTGCACGTTGCAAGTAGAGAGGGTCAACGACGAGGATTCTCGGCGCTGAGACCATCGAATTCAGTAGGACGAGTTGGAGCACTTACACGCTGTCGTCAGTCAACCGATCCCTATTATTCAGTTGATTGACTGCTTTTGGGAGAGCCTTGAATGCGATGGGCAGATTTTTTAGTGTCGCGATGCTAGCTTCCTCTGATGGATTTCCGACGGGGGAGTCGATGACGTGGTTGGCTTCTGCCGCTGACTCGGCATCGTCGTCTTGGACAGCATCAGCGACTTCCAGGACGGATTCTGCGCTGTCCCCGTAGTTTCCAATGTTGGTGAAGGGGGGCTCATCGTCGTCGGTGTCAAAGTTACTAAATTTGTCGTCGTAGTCGCGATCTCGCATGGAGCTGACGGTGGATGCGCGGATGTACTCATGATGGATCACAGAAACCTGGTTCGGCCCGTACAAAGGAGAAGAGTAGACTTGGCGCAACGGAGATGTCGGTAGCTTCATGCTCGTGCTTCCCAGACTCTTGTCGTCGCTTCTGTGGTTTCCTGCTGTATGCTGAGCGACGTCGTCGGCCGTAGACTCGCGGTTTTGATCTTGAGAAGCGGAAGAGATCGCCCCACCCCGCTCACGGAGAAGTTGTACGGCGCGTTTCGGGACTGCTTTTGTCCACCGAATTGACTGACCATGGCAGAGCACGGCGGCCTCGCGGAGGAGTCCGCCCTCGTCGTACCACGTGCGCACATCGATGTCGGCCTCGCGGCAGAGACGAGCCAGAATGGCCATGTAACTGAGTGAATTGATTGACAGCTTGGTCTCAGCCCGGTCAACTTTTCCAGGGCGGATGCGGCTGAACAATGGCGGCAGCATCCAGTGTCTCCTCGTAGCGGTGGGCCTTTTTCAAGTTCTGGGTCGGGACCGCACTCTCGGGCCTGCTCCGGTCAATAGCGCGAGTAGCCCTTTTTATCAATGGCAGGTGTGCGATGGTCTTTTCGGAAACGAGAGTGCTGTCAGGTGTTGGTATTGCTGCCAGCTTTTCGTTGACAAATTTGGACGTCTTACGACCGGGCTTAGGGTCTGTGTCGGTCACCTCAGCGAAAACTCTGTGGTATGGTAAATTCGGATTGGGCTCCTCTGCGGCGTTTGGGCTCGTCCTGGCGTCATCATCTGGGGCGACATTGGCGTTGTCTTTCGAGGATGCTGGGGATCCAGAGCCAATGGGTGGAGTTGTCTGTCGTGGCGATGGTGGTGGTTGAGGTCGCAGATTTCAGGGCACCGTCCCTTCGGGAGCCATTCTGAAAGTCAAGTCATGATAGCGGTGAGGGCGATAGTCGGACGGGCCAGTATGAATGGACAATGACCGAGCAACGTTTGGAATATAAAGAGTGATGCTATGGCACGTTGCACGCGAGGGCAGAAAAAGATGGCGACGGGTTGAAGGTTGAGGTCACCAGCAGTGGTGGCAGAGAGACTTCCGCCACACATGATAAAGAAATGTGACGGGAAGGAGTGGAGGAGGCCAACTTCCGATCATCGTGTCTTCCTGCCATCCACGTCCATCCAGGGGCCTGCATATGTCCTTTCCGTCCTGCGCCTGCCATGGGAGACGGCGAGGGAAAGAGGAAAGAAGGAAATGGCACACGGCCAGCCGCATTTGGTGAGGGAAGCCACGCACTGAGTAGCTATACACTTGGCAGCCACGGCCTTGATCGATCACCTGCGCAACTGAGATGGACGGTATCCGCGTTCAACAGTATCGACGGGAGTTATCGCAGTCGCATGGATTGCAGCAGAACGCAGAATCCGACCGGGAGAAATATCCTGCTCAACGCGCATCTTTTCTTCTTAACGGTCTATCACCCTGAAACCCGACGAGCATGAATGGTGGTGCGTTTCTTGCAGCGCGGGACAGCAACCCAGACTCAGTCCATCAACCGTCCTGGTCGGGTGTTGCCATTTCAGCGGGCAGTGAACACTTCGCTGGCAATCTACGGTGCGCAGCGAGGCCAGCCGGTTCGGCCCGCTCACCGGCGTCCTGTCCGGTCCGAGTGCACCGTAGCCTGAGTGGAGCTACCCTGCCGGCCGGGACGCCGGTGCGGGATGAATCTGGCTTTCATCATTACAGGTGCAGCGTGCGTCAGGGAAGTTTGACATTGCAGTTACCGCCTTGCGCTCGCAGTCGCAATCACGGGAGAAAATAAGCTGTGGACATCGTCCGAATATAGGGTTAGGGAAGGAGACCTAGACGGTGGGCAATGAACTCGTCGGCAAGAACAACAGGGAACACAGTGCCACTGTGGTCTATGCAGTCCACCTGCACCGCAGCACCGCTCTCACCGAAACCCCACGGGACACAGTCGACCATGCCCCACTGAATAACTTCACCTGATTAGCCAGCCGCGGCATTCCAGTGGGAAATTTCGCACGATCCCCACAATTCTCTCCAGTAGAATTGCCGGACAGTCCTCCTCCTCCAGGACTCACCTCAGCTGCACCAAGACCAGCGCCGCAGCAAAGGCGAACTCATCGTCGTCGCCCTCGTTGCAGAGGCGCGTCAAGCTGTCCCGGGGCGATGCACCAGGCGGAAACGACAGATGACACCATCCACCGCGGGCAGGAACTCTACTCCCTAGAGTGGAAATAGCAGACGCCGATGCAGAAGCACGAGAACATGCTGACTCCTAGATGAGGACCGCAACTGATGTAAGTTGCTGTCGCGCAGCAGGCCTGGTCGGGCGTTGTTGGCAGAAGGAAAGTACAAATAGGGAAGGCAGCTTGACTAACGGTGGTGGTGTCTGGTCGCGCGCAGCAGGTGGTGCACCTGCTACCTTGTGGTCTGGCTGAAAAAAGCCAGAACGCTCTGTTATGTAAGCATTATGTGACTGAGTGGGATTTGTGCAAAATTTCTCCAATGTCATTGGATGCAGCGCCCACCCTCACGATTTCCCTGTCGCAGCCAAAAAAAAAAAAAAAAAAAAAAAAAAAAAAAAAAAAAAAAAACCCCCCCCAAAAANAAAAAAAAAAAAAAAAAAAAAAAAAAAAAAAAAAAAAGAGACGAACACCCCGCCAAAATCACAACCACCACTGAGATCCCCGCAGTGACAGATCAAAACCACAACCACCGCCAAGCGCCGCCGCCGCAAGGAAGCCTACCTCCCCTTCCCCTCCTCCGTTCCGGTCGCGCCCGCCATGATGGTCTACTCCTTCAGCTCCACGGTCTTCGAACCCTCGAACTTCATCTACGTCGGCAAGGACAAGCTCGAGGGTACTGCCAGGGACCTTTGAGGATTTTTGAGCACGTGCCTTAATTACTCTACGACGCGTATCTTCCACATGAGCAGCTGTCTCTGGCAGCCCAGAAGCCAGGACTCGGACATCACCATGCATCACGGCACAGGCTATCCATCCGCCAAGTAGAGACCACTTTCGAATACCGTACATTGAGTCCACCAGCAGCAGTTCACCGCATACTTACCACGCCATCCCCGTCACTGAACCTTGCCGCCGCTCTGCTTGCTTTCCTCCAAAATCGCCTTCCGCCGCTCGGGGGTTAGCTGCTTCCACCACCGGTCGAAACGCCGAACCTGCGCGTCCCGGTCGTCTTCTTTGCAGAGTTCGGTGAGGCCGAGAACAGCTGGCTCTCGATCCACTCGTCTCGGCCTAGGTTCAAGTGGTACTTGGTCGGACACGGCCAGAATCGTCGCACCGACGCTACCGTATCTTCCTGCTGCATTTTCCGCCTCGGGACCTAGGGTTGGTGCACTGGTGTACGACACTGGCTTGCTCGAGCCGACGTGTTGCTGGGAGCGGTCGAGGTCAGCCCCATGCAGGAGTCCTTGGGGCCTGAGAGAAAAATCAGGGCGGTTGTGATTCTGGGTGTCGATGGAACTGACGACCCGGCTCTGGCCAGCGGAGCTGCCAGTGACGCTTTCTTTGGCGAAGGCGATGCCATTGTGAGAGGCGTTTTGCTTGAGGTGATAATCAAAGGGGTCCTTATTCTGAGCGTTGTTGGAGTTGACGCGGTTCTGATCAGCGTAGCTGACAGCAGGGCCCTCTTTGCCGGAGGCGCTGCCGTTGTTAGGTTTGACAACGTGGGCCTGGTCAGCATCGCTGTTGGAGAGGCCCTCTTCGCTGACGCCGCCCTCCTTGTCGACACCATTGTCAATGGGGCCGTCCCTAGCTGGAGGGGGGTCTATGCCGTTCCGCTTCAACGCCTCCTTCCAGGAATGGTGTACCAGTTTGCGCTTTAGCGGGGCCGCGTCCGTTTCCCAGGCCTTGGGCCACGGCAACTCATTCTCCTGGAGATCCGAATAGAACGGCGCGATACGGGCAGCGGTTGCCATATCGGCTGGCGTGAGTAGGTTCCTGGCGGCGTATTTCGCCGGGTCGTGGTAGAAGCGCTGGAAATGTCGCGAGTTCTGCACCTGAGACTCGTGCCAGACGATGTTCTCGGATGGTACGGCATTCTTGGATGAGGAGGCCTTTTTGGATGAGGCGGCCTTTTTGGATGGGACGGCCTTCTCGGATGGAATCGGCGGCAGCGGGCGCTCCGGTGGGTTACCGGCCTCTTGAACCTGGGGCGGAGGGCGCTCCCGCGGGCTGTGAGCATCTTGAGCCTGCGGCTCAACCTCGGAATGCAGTTGCGACATGGTAGGCGTCTATCGCGGTTGGTACGGTGGCAGAGACTGGAAAGAGAAGATGAGGAAAAGAAAAGGGCTGGCAGACGCGAGGAGATGAGTGTGTTGGAAAAACAAGAGCCACTCTGCTGCTGTCCATGAAAAGGAAGGTTTTTTTTTCAAAAGAGATAACCTCCTCGTCTTTTCTCTTGTCTACCTGAACAAAGAAGGCCCTGGTCACAGGCGAGGCCGAGGTATCGCGAGCTTTCCGTCGTTGACGAATGTGTTTCAAACCGGGCACAAAGAAGGCCCTGGCCACAAGCCGAGGCATCGCGAGCTCTCGATCGTTGACCATCATGTTCCAAACCAAGCACAAATGATGGCTAACTGCCTCATCGCCCGGTACTGTTTCAAACACCCCCAGCAGCTCCATGCAGACATTTCCATCATTTTGATCTGCCCCTCCTCCATTGTACCCGCAAACGGCTCTCAGCCCGGCTGCCGCTCTCGCTGCGCTCCCGTTCCTGCATGAGCACATTCGCGCGGGGACCGGCACTGTCGTCAAGACGTCGAGCTAGAGGTCCACGTCCATGTGGTCCGCTGCGCGGATGCCTAGGTACTCGTCGAGCGAGGCAGACGCTCCCGTTTCGGGCTTGACGTCGAGGAAGGCGGGGTGGATGGCGCAGGTTTTCTGGCTGATTGCTGGATGTTTGATTGTCAGCTCGGCGATTGCGAGGGGAGAGAGGGAGAGGGCGAACGGGGGATGCGGACCTTAGACGCCGTTGGACTTCGGTCGGACCATTCGATGGGGTCGCGACGCATCAAGATCGCCTATGGGAACAATTGAAGGAATTCTGGGCAATCGTGCCAGATCAGCGCTGCGACGACAGCGCGAGATAACCACCTTGCGATACATGCTGTTGTCGTCGTGCGTCAAGGCTCGAGCCTGGGGCGGTCTGTAGATGGATGCGTTTGCGTTTGCGGAAAGGCATTCGCTCTGAAATGTCTTCTGGCCACACATCAGTCGTCTTGAAGTTACGCTTTGGCTGCTTTTGTAAGGGTTTAGGGAGTTTGGGTACGCGGCCTGGTGGTCGGCTTATGAAATGGACAAACAAACGGCGGGCGCACTCCTTGTTTCTTACACAATCTCTCTGTCTTTTTCTCGTTCTTCAGGGCCTGCTACATGACACGGCCTTGTGTCCCACCGGCCGGGATCGTATCCGCGTTCGTGCGTTTGGTGTGAGGCTCGACAGCTGGGGTGCTGGGCTGGTGTGGCCGATTGTGGCCGATTGTGACCGCGGCCGCTGCGGCGCCGAGAACGAACCGGTTATCTGGCCGTCGTTGTCTGGGGCCAATTAGGCGAGGAGGGCCCGCAGGCTGGGATCGTGAGTCTGTGGGGGTGTGCCAGGGCCCAAACTCTGGAGCGTCGATGGGGGCGCGGCGCCTTTCTCGTGCCTGCGCAGTCTCGGGGAGCTGGAGTTCGAAACGTGGTCTGCAAGCACCGAGAAGTTAGCTGTACGTCTGCAGGTGGAAACTACGAGTAAGAGGGCTTGCGGGATTGGTTGTACTGAGCGCGATGCTTGCGGTTGATGTAGTCTACCTGCCGTGATGCAACCCGCGGGTGAAAGGCGATGGACGAAGACGGCGGCGATCTGCGGCAGGGAGACGCTTGCTGGTGTGGTGGATTCTGACGAGTCTCCGGATCGCTCGCGTGAGTCTCGGGACATGAAGGCGTGGGAAGAAACGATCAACGGATTCTGAGGTTGTCGGTGTGGCGGAGTGTTGATGGATGTGTGTCGAGATTGAAGAAGGGGCGGCAAACGGACAAGAGGGGCATGTCTTTGGCTAGCTTCAAGTACGTACCCTGGCCCGGCCGTTTGCTCGAAATCGATGCCGGACGGTGCCTCACTTCTCAAACTTGACTGTCTGTTTCATTGATGTCCATGCCTCGTTTTTTTTCACCCGCGCCAAGCCGCCCTCTCTAAATTCACTTGCTGCTCGCTAGACACCATCGCCATATGTTTGACAAATAAATCCAGCGTCTCGTATCACCCTGGCCATGTTCAACTCAGCGTCCATTCTAACACAAGTGCGACGTGATATTAACATGAACGCACAATGATCCACAACCACCAGCTCTGCGATGAGGCAAGATATTGGAAAGAACACGCATCACTCCTGTCCTCTTGGAGAACTAGAATCTGCGTCCGAACGAGGCATATTGGCACCAGGTCCAACGAGCAGATCGCAAGGGCGGCAGGGGAAAGGGTCAAGAAGGGTATAGCCTCGGCCATGAGGGTTCGGATAAGTTTCTTCTGCAACATCCCTGCTAACCAGACAGCCTATCCCAGGCAGAGGCAGAAAACTGAGGTGGTCGATGAGCCCTTCCCACTGCGAAAGCGTTCCGTTCATCTCCCCTTCCTCGTCACTGATCTTCGCAGACATATCCATGACTTCGATATCATTGAATTTGCTACGATGGTGGTAAGCTAGCACAAAGTTCCGTATCCGTATAGCCCACATACAAGGAAGGTCCTCGACCAGAAATACTCACCCTCTGCACATGTTACAACGTGTCTTGAGATCGGAAACCGCCGACTGTGGCCCAAAGTCCAGCCGCAAGGAACCTTCTGGTAGAAGGGGGAAGTCGTCAGACCACGGCAGGAGATGGCAGAGGTTTCTCCAGTTTCCTTCTCCTTGTTGGTGACGCGAGTGACATGGGTAGCATTGTGGCGACCGCGTGCGTGTCGCGTGTGAGAAAGAGTGTGGGATTGGAGATTTCAATCATGATCCTTGCCTAGCTGGTCAGTGTACATACGACTCGCGATATCCTATGACGTCCGTCCGTTGGATGACTGTCTACGAGTATGCTGCTAATTACTTGATCTCACCAAGGGTTTTATTATAGTCCTCGTTCACAAGGTTCCTGTCAATCTCTTACTGATCTGCGGGCCCCTGCCTTCTCAGTTTGTCCGGCTAAGCATCCTTGCGACACCTCGTTAATAGGTAGAGCAGGCTGAAGTTGGCACGAATGAGCAGCGGATCACTTCAATGATACCATCTTATGAGGAGGTTCATCACAAAACCACGTGATAAATATCACAGAAATGATCAAAGCATGAGAAAGGGGCAGAGGGACGACAAACAGAGAATCCGAATTTCCCGTTCTGTCGAGGGCGTGGATTTGCCGGCGTCGACAGAGAGGCCTAGATCGATCTTTCAAAGTTTAGGCCATATAGAATATCATAGATGCGTCATGGCGGACACTGTTTGTCAGGCAAGAGTCAATGGATATAACCACCGGAAATAGACCCTCGCCATTATCAGACGCAAGGAGTCGGGGTTCAGCTGGAATTCATCGGAGGAAGGCATCGCCACATTGTACAACGGCGACTCAGGGGTATACGGCGAAGATGGCTACATACTATGTTGTGTGAGTGGAAGCAATGGCCGGCTCAGGAGTCGGCACGTACTCCGCCCGAAAGCGTCGGAGTGACAGAGTGTACGTGAAGACGAGACAATCCCGTCTGGAATACGGAGACGATAGACGAAAGTGAATCCTCGCGGACCAAGATAAGATGTGAGGTTGAAAAGGAGAGGAAGGACGAGAAGGAGTCAGGTTGGTGTAGAAGAGTGCTTTTAAGTTTGCCATTGAGAGCATGCATGGGAACGGGGGTGAGTAAGTCCCGGAGGGAGGCGTCTTGTCTCTAGGTTTTCTGAAAGAGCGGAATACCTGACGCCACACCGCAATCACCTATGAGATGATGTGGGAGCACATAGTGGGAGCTGCGTCCCGGCCAGTATCTTGGAAAACCACTGGTCCTCATACTCCTATTCTATATGCAGATTACAAGCGACGGCTTTTCCGTGCCTCTCTTGCTAAAACTCCGTCGCAAAATGCGTTCATCACACGTCCACGCGGCTGACGAGTAGGCATCTGATAAGTGAAATTTCTGCTTCAGGGATTTGCAACGCGAATTCCATCACAATCCGCTCGGTTGGCTTGGCCGGCAGAGTCTTGACGCGGCTGTAATCTGTAATGCCTCCAATCACTTCCAGCATCGACGCCAAAGACCCGCTGCCACCGAGCCAGCTCGATGTAAGACAGCCTACCGCATTGCTTCGAGTTATTGCCTAGTAACACCTGCGAGAGGCCCTGGGTTCGAAGCCCGATTAGGCCCTTTTTGAGAGTTTGTCAGTTAGAGGCGAAGGAGCTCGACAAGGTGCGTCAACCCGCAAACGGCGACATGCTTCGGACGGCCAAGAAGAGAACGACGACCGAACCAATGAGTCAGTGCTGGGGCGACGGTGTGGGAGATAGAATATCTCCATCTTTCGAAATCATTTCCTTTCCTGAATTCATTTTAGTGGTCTGAAGGAACGAGGACGCCGAGCAGCAGTCTCTGGTGCAATCAGGGCGGTGGGGACCCTTCGTGCGGGACACATGACGTTGCCCAGGGGGCGTATATCGACCTAAGTCGCCTCGCAGGCCATCTCCCTTCTTGCCTTTGATCCGAACATATTGTCCACCGTTGGCCTCGCCACGGAAGCCGATTCAACCCAGGCCGCTGAGGACGGAACGGGAGGTTAGTTCTTGATGGAATGGGATGAAAGCCATCCTCACACTAATAAGGTTCTCTCATGCCAATATGCTCTTCTTTTTTTATCATTTTGGGCTTTTCCTTTCTGCGCTCGATCTCAGTGACACGCCCAACGGATAATAATGCTCACTTCCGTTAGACACAGATCCGGCCAAAATGAGTCGCGATAATGCAGAAAGGAACACAAACATTCACATGCAAGTATCCTCGCATGTTGAATGGTGACAATCAGGCTAGTGGCTGAGACGAGTAGAAAAGGGATCCAGCCCATGCAACTCGACCTCTCATTCATGCGCACGCAGCGCGTCAACGCTGAATATAAGACATAATCTCGGGTATAGACACTGCGGGCTTTTCCGAGACTCCCATGTTCCGCAATCGCGGCAACCTATTCCCACATCCTCTGCGTGGATGACGCAAATCTTGCGATAT